ACAATTTTAAGATACAAACCAGGCTGTTTTTTCTAAACAGTGTTTTACAATGCACAGCTCGGTGTCAACAGAGACCCACAGTCAGTTTGTCTCCAGCAGACACAACAGACTGCTGACTCAGCTGTATTTTGATACTAATTATCTTTCACACAATAGAGAGGCAGAGGAATTAACATGCTTCAAAACTAGAATATGATTCTCTTCCCAGCAGCTAAACAACACAAGCAGAACAAGGATCTAAGTGCAAAGTCAAGGTCCACACCATGAGAACATCAAATGCTACTGAACACATTTTAAACAAACATTTAATGGATCTATTAACTTTCAAATATTATATTGTCTTACTTTAGTCAGTGAAAGTAGTTTCTTTGATAAGGGAGTCAGTAAGAATTAAAGCCTCTGTAGATACAAGGGGAAAGAATTGCATGAAATTGTGTATGTTTAGAACATTGTCTCACCAGTTACAGACATGGGAAAATATCAGAAAACAACCTGAATTATTTGGAATCTGTGAAACAAATTCTGTCACCCGGTTCTCCCAAGTGCCCAACGTCTCTGGTGATGAGAAAAAAAAATAGCAGGAATGCAACTATTTCAACAAACAATCATAAATCTTACCGTGTTAAAACTAAGTTAAATTAGGAACTCAAAGTAGGTTGATTTATTTTAGCTACCTGCTCTTTTACTGACATGAGAAAAAAACCCAAACAAACAGAAATATTCAGAGCATGTTTATCCAATTTCTCCCATTTCTCCAAATCCCAGAGATATCTGCTCCCCATGGGTAAGAAGTGAAAATCATGGAGATTTTGCTCTTCTTAAAAAAGCAACAAAAACACCCCCAACTCAACCCCCTTATAAACCAGTATCAGTATCAAGATTCCACTTGCACATTGTTATATGAGAGTGTAAAATAATGCTAAAAATGTGTATTAATAGAGACATTTTCTTCAGAGACAGAGCAATCACTGCCTGCATGTGCTTTTAGGCGGAATGAAAGGAGCCACATTCCTCTTTCACAAACACATCCTTAAGCCAGTGCACTCAAGCGTAGCATGTTTTTGATTGTGAGTGTGTCAAGATAACCCAAACACCCCTGGCAGCAACACTCCATCCATTGTATCACCCTCAAACATGACATTTATTTTAAGAACACAAAAAGCCCTAATATACACACAGCAAAAAGCATTTTTATCTCACTCGTAGTACCCATTTATCATGAGATGTATTATTATATGGAAGTCAAAGACAGTTGACATCTCTAGGAGAAATTAAAATGCAGGTTCTCAGGATAACTCATATTCCAGTTTGCTCTTCTTTCCAACACAGTAATTTAAACAAAAATACATTAAGTACTGCTATTCCTGAAAACGCTTATAAACAATTTAGACAATTACAGTAGAGTCATTCTCTCACATAAAAAAGCCAAATAAATCTCTGAACCTGAAGACAAACCAGACACATTACCTTTGGACTGGACAACCAAGTTCACACAACAAGCAGGATAAAACACTTAAATGAAATCATCATTGTAAAAGCCATTTCCAGTTCTATCACAATACAAAATGCCCTCCCCCATTCCGTGTCCTCAATGAAAAGGGTCCCATCTGCTGATCAGCACAAGAGATACCCTATGTCTGAAATTTCCTTTCAGAAGGGAATATAATACAGAAGGGCCTGTTTCTGGCTATGTGCTTTCAGCAGTTCCAAAGAGCAAAGGGGCAGGTGTTACCCCCAGTCCTCAAACTTCAGGGCACCGGCTATGAGGGACCTCAACAAACCAGTCCCAGTGAGGCACCAAACTGCCTCAGGAGACAGAAATGTGGGCATTGGAGTTCTTTTCCTTCTCATTAAAGGCATATACACACAGTGACTGTTCTGTCTCTGGAAAAAAAAATCTCTCTATAAATACACATTTTAGCTTTATTTTACATAGGACGGAATGACTGTAATGTAACAACCTGGGTATCGAATTCTTGCGGTGACACTGAACGTCAACATCTGGGGTCAGAACAAAGGGAGAGCTGCACGTCGCGTCTTACATTGCTATGTCTAAACATTACAAGGAAGACCTTATTAGCAGTAAGTGAATAATTTTCCTTTTTTTTTTTTTTTTTTTTTTTTTTCCCCTAGAAAAAAGCCACAGGTTTTAGGGTAGAGGATGCACCTTGTCCTTCACCGACCGAGCCCTGCAACAGGTCAATCCCAGTGTGGATGTGGCCAGTCCTGTCCCAGCGATGGCACCCAGGCCATGGCCACCACCGCTGCGGCATTTTCCTGTCTAATACCGCAAACACCACAGCGACAGAACAGCTCTGCCCCGGCCGCCCGGGCTGGGTGCCCCTCAAGGAACCCCCTGGGGTGAGGGCTCGACCCTTCCCTGGGGCGGGCGGGGGTGCGGCGACCCCTCACCTGCACCGTTCATGCCGCTATGGAGCCGGCCGGTGGATTCGGGCTCTGTCCCGGCTGGACTGGGACTCTCTCCCGCCTGGATTTGGGCTGAGGGGGCGGGGCCGCTCCCGCCCCTCACGGCCCCGCCGCCCGCCGGGGGGCGCCCGCGCGCGCCTTTCGGCCCCACCGTGACGCAAGCGGCTCGCGCCGCCGCGGTGCATGCCGGGCCGGCGGCGGGAAGATGGCGAGCGACTTCTACCTGCGGTACTACGTGGGGCACAAGGGGAAGTTCGGGCACGAGTTCCTCGAGTTCGAGTTCCGCCCCGACGGTGAGAGCGGGCGGGGGCCGGGGGGCACCGGGAGGGACGGCTCTGCGCTCCCCGAGGGCGCGGGGCCGGGCATGGCCGCCCCGGCGGGGCTTAACGCGCGGCCTCTCCCCGCAGGGAAGCTGCGCTACGCCAATAACAGCAACTACAAGAACGATGTGATGATCCGCAAGGAGGTGAGTGGGGGGGGGCCGCGCGAGGTTGGGTGTCCCTGCTGCAGTGGTGTGTGCAGGGGTTGTAGTTCCATGTTGGGATGTTGTGTCCAGGCTTACGTGCACAAGAGCGTGATGGAGGAGCTGAAGAGAATCATCGACGACAGTGAAATCACGAAGGAAGATGATGCTCTGTGGCCGCCTCCGGACAGGGTGGGCCGGCAGGTGGGTGCACAGTGTCTCCTCTAGTCGATGCTTTAATTTCCGTGGGTAGCTCCTTGGAAGCACAACAGAACTTTCCCCTCAAGGCTGTGTTGTTTCCAGCCAAAAAGGAGACAATACTACCTTAAAACCCGAGTAGTCACTCAGTGGCAGCTTGTGAGAGTTAATATGATTCACAGACCTGCTGCGTTCAATGTCTCTGTAATAGAAAGTTGTAAAAAAAAAAAAGTCATCACAGTACTTAAGTATTTCTGTAACTTGTACCACAAAGCAGTAGTGTTCCCATAACCTTTTATTTTTCAGGAGCTTGAGATAGTAATCGGTGACGAGCACATCTCCTTTACCACATCAAAAATCGGTTCACTCATTGATGTAAATCAGTCCAAGTACGTACCCTGCTTTTTTAAGTTGCTGTTTTTATTTAACAGTCTGTATTAAACTTGATGATCACTGGGTACCTGTATTTTACATTGTTTCGAGGCACAGATCAGTTCCTGGGGACGCTGCTCTGTGTTGCAGTGTAATGTACCAGCTGCCTTTAGATGTATTTTCAAACTCACTTTGCTGTAGGACCCTGTCAGATGTGTTCATAGGCCAAACTGACCTGCCATTGACCTGTCTGCATCAGTGTCTTTGGGAAAACCGAGATTTCTGTATTTCACCAAAGCTGAAAAGATTGGCTGGCATGGTTGGTTGTTCTTTTTTTTTTAATCTTAAGTGCTGTTGCTACTTGGCTTTAAAAAAAAATGCGCATTTTGTCAATACTTAAAGTGTGCAAACTTGGAGTAAGGAATGTTTTATCAATCAGTGTAGAATGAAAAAAATCTGTTCCTCTCTAAGGTGACCTCCAAAAAGTCTTCCTATAGACTCTTTTTTTTTTAATAGGTTAGTTCTATAAACTCTTCTAAAAGAGCATCAATCTTAAACTTCTTTTGTTTTCTTTCCTTCTGTTGTGCACTACAGGGATCCAGAAGGTTTGAGAGTATTCTACTACCTGGTCCAGGACCTTAAGTGTCTTGTCTTCAGTCTTATTGGACTCCACTTCAAAATCAAGCCAATTTAAATCAGACAAATTGAAGTTTGTATTACATTCTGTATGGGGGAATGGGTCAGGGGGAAGGATGCTGTTCCAGCTCGTCAGGGTTTCTGGCCTGGAGCTTTTATGTATTTCATTTTTTTGTTGTTGTTGCTAAAAACTGTCAGTGAGTGTCTTTATTAAAAGGATGAGATTTCTTTTTAATTTTTGAGTTGTGAGACACTGACTTCCTAACACTTCTTTTAGCACAGTACACTCAGGGTATGTGACATCACTTGTATATCACACATCCTGTATTTCTCTGTCTACACAGCAGCAGAAAATGGAGTTACACCTGTCTGTGTGAAATGGAACTTCAGCCAGCTGTCAGGATAAACTTCTGTTACTATCCTGAGCTGGCTATTCTGTTGGCCAGCCCAGAAGTGCAAACCAGCTGAGTGCTGGTGGTAACTGGTGGTAGCAGACACACATCACCACCCTCATGGCCTGTGCTCACCTGTTTGCTCCCAGGGCACTTCGGATGATCCCAGGAACCACTTCGGATCTTCACTGACGCTGCCGTCCAGCTTTGGAAAAGCTTGAAAAGCAATGTAGAATGTATTTAGTTAAGTTCTAGTCCAGGAGATCTGTTGTGCAGCATTAATTAAAGGATTTTGAGGGGGGCTCGAGGGTGTTCCCCACAGCAGCGCTGCCAAACTGTGCTCTTGCTTTCTCTGGCACATCTGTTTTTTCTAAGTCAGTAGCCGCTGCGATTAAAAAACACTGGTGGTTAAAGGGCTTTTAAAAGTTGGACCCCCTCCGTTGCCGGTGCCAGCCCCTCCCGCATTCCCGCCCCTCGCCACAGGCACCGCCCGGGGCGGTGACGGCCGCCATCTTGGTTGAGGGCAAGGGCAGCTTCCTGTCGGCTTCAGCCCGGCAGAGAGCGCCGGGCGCGGCCGCCATCTTGGCTGAGGGCAGGGCCTCGGCGGGGCGGAGGGAGAAGGGGATTCCACAAAAATTCCGCGGAGGAGCGGCCAGAGACCCGCGCGGCCATGGGGGTAGGTGGGACCGCGGCCGGGCCGGGCCGGGCCGATGCGATCCGGGCTGACGCCGCTCCCGCCGCCCTTTGCCTTGCAGAGGATCGGGCTGCAGCTCCGAGCCACGCTGGAGAACATCACCCGGCTGCGGGCCGAGGGCGAGGACTTCCGATGGTACCTCAAGGTGCGGAGGGGCCGGGGGTGCCACTCATCCCTCCTTACTGACAGCTCTCAGCTCACTGACCTCTGTTTTCCAGCTGAAATGTGGGAACTGCGGCGAAGTCTCTGAGAAGTGGCAGTACCTGCGGCTCATGGTGCGTGTCCCTCTGGTAACCTGCCTCTGAACAAAAATGGCAACACAAACCTGCCTCTTACACATGCATTAGCGTCAGGAATGGGACAACTTGCACTTTAGATGACTTTTTCAATTGCTATATGCACTTAGAAATTGCTGTCATATTCCATCCTAAAAAGAAATAATTGGATACTGTTAATTGAAATGTGGCATTGGAATGGTGACTGTTGGTGAGGAAATATTTACACGTGCTTTTAAAAAACAATTTTCTGTAAAAATAAAATTTGAAACCAAATTTTGAAGTGGTATTAGAAAAAGGTTGTGTCTGTACATACTTCTCTGATGCTGACGGAACACTTCTGGGGAAACTTAGGTAATTCAAGGTGAGTTAGGCATGCTAAATTAGCATTTGGAAATTGAAAAAGCAGGATAAAAGATAAGGGATAAGAGAAGGTTCTGTTCTTCAGCATGATGAACCTTTTTTGTTGCACACTACTGACTGGCAAGAATGTATTTTGAGTAATTAATAGAACATGCCTATATGGACAAGACATAAGTATCCACTATTCCCCGTTTTAAGTCTAGAAGAGAATTATTCTTTGATAATCACAGCTTCTTGAATTACTAACTTTAGTTTTAAAAAAAGCCTTCTTAAAAGTATTTTTAAGAAGTGAAAGGCCATTGTAAGAACTGCCTTACCTTTGCAGAGGTTTGCAGTGGCTCAGCTGAAGAGCAGTCACCAATGTCTCTGCTGTCTGGTTTTCAGGACAGCGCTCCCCTGAAGGGTGGCCGAGGCAGTGCCACGATGGTGCAGAAGTGCAAGCTGTGCTCCAGGGAAAACTCCATCGGTATGTGCTTACCTGTTCAACAGGCACCATCCACTTGTCACTTTTTCTCCCGAGCTCACTTTTTAGTCCCCATTTTTGCTTGTAAAGAGCATTCCCCAGGGATTCCTTCCCTTGCACACCGGTGCTTGAGTTCACAACAGGTACACACACTCGACATCACGCTCATGAAGGAGACAGCAAGGCCTGGTGAGTCCAGGTTTCTGCATGAACAAAACTCATCTATAATGTCATTTTACAAACTATGCAATTTTTTTTGCATTGGTAAGGTAACAAAAGGGTGCAGTGTAATCTTCTCAGGAGAAGGGAGAAAAAGTGAATTCTACCTTCTGAAGGCCAGCTGCAGGAAATGCTTGGTGACTTTGTTCCTTTTACTTTGTATGAGGAAATTTCTTTGAAAGAAGAACCTGCTACTTGGTTTGTGCTGAATAAAACTTAAGACAGAATGCAACTCACCTTCACCCTTTTTTTTTGTTTTAGATATTTTAAGTCAGACAATCAAGCCCTACAATGTAAGTTTGTTTCCTCTTCTATATAACAAGTGAGAGATAAATAAGCATTATTACTATTTTGAGTTTTCGCTTTATCATCCTCTTTCAAGTACACAAAAGAAGCTGGTATTGTTCCCTGACAGAAATTGTCTCTTGTAGACTCCTGCACAGTCTCAAGTGTAGAATAATCTGTTACATTTCATAAGCCAACACAGAACTGTATCACTCAAATTAGAGGTCATTAGGCCTGTATAAGTTTCCTTTTGAAGACTTCCTCGTGGCAGACCAAGAAATTCTAGTTAATGGCCACCCATTACATGAGCTCAGGATTTTGTTGTCACTTGGGGCATCAGAGATGACAGTACTGCTTTTAAACCAATCCATTCCTAAACTAATGCTTGTCACTGTCTCTGTTAGATGGAAACTAATGGAATTCTGGCTCAATTACAGGCTGAAGACAGTGAGAAATTCAAGACAATAGTGGAGTTTGAATGCCGAGGTCTGGAACCGGTTGACTTTCAACCCCAGGTGAGTTCTTGTTTGTGATTAGTCTCCCAGTTTCTAAAAACACTTTTTGTAGACTCTACAGTGATAAAATATACACTGTTTGAAATGGTTTTGGAACATCCTAGACCTCCCCAAATTCCCATTCTCTCCATCAGGTTCCCATCCACTCTTTTTCTATTTCATTTGACTCCAAACAAACCCAAAAATCCACAATCAGGTAACACAACTCTGGTATTCTTTGTGCCAGGAAAATCTAACATTAGGCACACCTTGGAGACTTAGTCCAACTGCCTTACAGGTGACTCAGCACTGCTCACCTGAACTCACCTGAGAGGTCTTCATCGTTCAGGTTATGGCAGAAGAGTCTTTCCCAAGGGGAATTGTGAGTGCAGTGTTAGGCAGAGCACCCCTGTGCACAGAGAGCACCTGCAGTTCAGGTTACGAACACGAATCAGTGTGTGTCCTCTAGAAAACAAATTCTCTTTGGGATTTGATATCACCAAAGCCACAGGAAGCGAGTATTTGTATTTTTCCACGTGGACCTCGAGCAAAGGCTGAAGATCAGCGGCACTTGAAGGCTATTGCAAAGCACACCTCAAGGTTCAGAGTTAAAGGATTTCTTCAGGGCCAAGCCAGTCTGCAGTGACTCATCTGCTTGTGCATGGTCATGCTGCAGCCTGTTAACTCCCTGCTATATTTAACATATTATTCCAGTCGGATTAGGTGTAAATAGACTGACAGATATAAAGCTGTCTTATCCTTCCCTCAGACTGTGATGCTGGGCTAAGAAACAGCCCAAAGCAGCCTATTCTACAGCGAATTAGATATAAATAGAATCCCAACTGCAGAGTGCTAGAGGAGGTCTTTATCTGTTTAAGTGAAGCCCATCTTTCTGAGGAACAGATGGGTTATTAGTTTATCCCTGTTTGAGAGCTGTGCAGCCAGACCTAGGAACTTGCACCTCAAGAAAAAACTATGGGAAGACTAAAATATACAGGGGATGTTTGTAGCTCTGCATCCTAACTGTTAATATGGTCTCTGCATTTGACTGGAGAGTATACTTGAATTCCTGGAGAGGTATTTGAGTGAATTTTCTGATGCCTAAATCAGTAAATGAGAATTAATTTTCTGGTGCCTGTATGACTTCTGCAGTTCCAAATAATTCTGTAAACTGCTTTATATTTGGCATGATCCACGCCAGCCTGGCTCCTCCACAACTTTACATCTGGCTTTTGATCAGCACCATGGCCACAGTATTACAGTATTTTCTCCCTATTCTTGGTAGACGTAATACAAACACACCTGAAGTCAATTTAAAGCGGCTTAATGCTTGCATGTCTTATTTAAATTGTAGTTATCTAAAAAAAGAAAGCAGAGAAAGTACCTTTGATTCTCCGGATATACACCCTCCTTTTAGACCTAGTGCAGAAGCTTGTAATTCCAGTCACGTGGCTCCTTGTTCCTTAGAGGGCTGGTGAGCGGCTCCAGGTGGCAAAAGCAGGGCTTGATTTTTCTGGTGTTTGTTCTGTACTGCAGCTCTGCAGTTTTGTCCCATGAATGCTGATCTTTCTCTCCACCCCAGCAGTTCCCTTGAGCTAGGCTTCCAGCAGTTCTAGAAGGGCCACTGTGCCCTGCAGATCACTCTCCTCGTGTTAGATCTGACCCACTCTGTGGTTTAGTTAACTCCCAAGTGCTTAACCTTCCTTCAGATCCTGAAATATTTTAAAATCATGTGGCTTACTCTGCACATTCTTACACAGCTAAATGTCTGACTGGCATTAGAGGGATTTCTCTATCCAAAATGCAAGTGTAGATCCCTTGCAGAAAACCAGGAAGAAATGTGGATTTTTAGGCACTTGTTAATAAAATTCTGTAGTTAGAAATGGCAGTGTAAGAAACCTTCCTGTATGCTACAGAAGTGGCTGGGATTTTTAAATATACAGTGAAATTTAGTGCTGAGTTACTTTTTTTAAACGTGTTTCAATGATCATATTTATTACTTTCTTGGTACAACTTATTTTTAAAAACTTTCTGCAAATGTGTTTGCAGGCAGGGTTTGCTGCTGAAGGTGCAGAATCTGGCACACCTTTCAATGACATAAACTTGTTGGAAAAGGTATGTTGTGTAAATTTAATTACTTAGCTTGCTTTCCCCAAGACACTCGTCCAAAATACAGCCTGCTCTTTCCTGTAGCCACAGGAAGGTCATAGCTGGAGAAAGGAATTGCACCAACTATGAACAACCAGCATTACTAAGTGTCATTTTAGAAGTAGGTATTTGATAACTTAGCAGCTGGCAAAGGTAGAAATGCTACCTTTAAGTCACTCAAGAATTCCAAAGAGCTGGAACCTGGAATATTAAATGGCTGGGGTCAAGAGAGTGGTGAATTGATTTTTCTAGGAAGATCCCTGCACATTTTCCTGTGCCCAGAGGTATTAAAAAGGAATAGAGACACTGTCCTTCAAAGCTCAGGATAATGACACCAGCATTGCAAATCTTCCTTGGCTGTGAGCAGGAATCTCAAGGTCAAATCTGTTCCCTGGTATCCTACTTGGCAGGGATCTGTATGTCTGCTTACCCACCTGACTAGGGTATTGTAAATGATAGATAATCCTTTCACCTGCCATGGCTGCTGTCTTGTCCACTACAGGCTGTGGACTACATATGAAAAAACCTACAACATTATATAAATAAAAACACTGAGACTGAAGCTCTTTTAATTTCAGGTTGGAGCTTTTGCTTCTCTCACCTGTCAGAACTTAACTTAGTGACTGCACAGTGCTTTCCACAGACGTCTAAGATCCAAATTTTGAGTAACATTTGGTTTCAGTTTGAATTCCAGTCTGTGTGCTTTCTGTCCTCTGTGACTAACACTGTGAAATCTTGTTTCCTACAGGATTGGAATGACTATGACGAAAAAACAAAGGAATCTGTTGGAATCTACGAAGTTACCCACAAATTTGTAAAATGCTGAAGTTCACAGCCCTAATAAATCTTGACATGCTCATTGATGGAGGAGCTGTATCCCTCAGATACAGTTTCCTTGGAGTTTTACTTTTTTTACAGGGCTGCACTTCAGAAACCCAAGTTCATAGAATCGTTAAGGCTGGAAAAGACCTCCAAGATCACCGAGTCTGACCTTTGACCAACATCACTAAGTTGTACTTACTGTCCCCAGCATTCCCCAATAAAATACTTTCCACAGAGCACTCGGAGATGGCCTCAGTACACACTGAAAATAGTACATACACCTGACTGACCTGTGCCATTTTCTTAAGGCTTTTTTTTTAAAATATATACACTTGTGGTGGACTGTAGCTTTACTGTACACAGTGACTACTCAGACAACTTACAGCCCTAAAGTTTAACATGAAGAAATAGCTCTGAGGATTAGTGGGGTTTGTGTTAACTATTCCAGAGAACAGTTACACCTTTAGTAGCTTTCTGCCACTTCAAGTAAAGACACTGAGCTGAGTGTACTGAAAACACTTACTAAGCTTGACTGCTGTTGACATTTACACAGTTACAATCTTCTGAAAATCAAGTTATCTTCCCAACTGTGTCATTAAATAAACCTCATTTTAAGTCAAAGACAGACTTTGTACTCTTGGTGGATGCACTCACACTCTTGCCAGCTGTTCTCATGTTTAAAAACAAACCCATAAAATAAAAAAAAAATAACAACCCACTTTTTAGTAAACTTTATTCAGACTTTTGGTCTGATTATTGTGTCCTGATACATAATTTCCTTCGTGTTTCCAAACGATCACCTTCCTTTCTTTGATTAAATGAGCATGAACAATCATGCTAAATTTTTAAGAGGGTTTTAAAATAAGGCTTTTCAGGTGAAAACTAGAACAGCAAATTACAAGGTGCAAACAGCCCTGACTATAAAAAGTTCATAAGCCTTCAGGCTTACCTATTAAAAGCATGCCTCTCCCCTTCCAGCACTTGCAGTTCATACTTCCAAGATATGGTACTGCTTACACTCACTGTGATAAAGAAAAAAGACACTGGGAGAGCCTGGAAGCTGAGAAAGCCAAAGGAAGAGAAAAGGCAAGTAGGTTTCTGAGCCTCTGAACCTGATCTGTCTCATCAGGTGTGCTCAGACTTCTCTGTTCTGCTAACGGATTTGGTTGTCCAGGACAGGGGGCTGTGCTGAAAGACATGAGCTGCATTAGTTTTACAAAGATCACAAAAACAAGTTCTGCTCAGCTCTAGAGAAAGATACATACTTCCAGAAGGAAAAGAGTGGAAGTCAAGAGGGTTTAAAAGGCAGGAGTTCAAGTTATACATACCCTGTAAGTGCAGAATGCTTTCAGCAGTATTCTTTCCAACTTCTATAAGAATCGTGAGCTATGGATAATAATCATGACTACCCATGCTGTATGAATTACATATGGCAATAAAGAGCTCTGTGGTTATTAATAGACAGCTTTATTAAAATACAGTCTTTTCCAGTCAGTTTAACAACCCATTTGATGATTGCATATCACTTAAGGCCTTCCACTTCATTTTTTTGTTTCTCTGGAAGTTAAGAGTGGAAAGGCTTCAAGCAGTTGAGGCACTATCAGTTCTGATAAAAATTCAAGTTTAAAGAGAAAAGTAAGTGTGAGCAGTTAGTGAGAAAGCTTACTGCAAGTGCAAATGGAACTATTCTTTCATGTTTAAAATTATTGCATGGTTTTTTTTTAAATCTTAGCAGTTTAAGAGAAGTATCACAGTATTGATTTGAGTGTCTGAACACTCATGGAACACAGATGTTCCAAGTTCATAAACCGTTTATTTCAGATGATGTGTTTTAAGAACACATGGATGGGTTGGAACAGATGGAAGTGTTACTTAACTTCACATTGTGAGTGCTTGTATTTGCTGAAGTATACGCTCAAGGTCTGTAACTGATTTCTTTAAAAGAGATACAAATTTCATAGTGAATCTAAAAGTATTCCAGTGAAGATACATGAAGCCAATTAAGCTGGGCAGTCTCAGCCATGCTGAACACTGATTAGTAGGTCAGTTAGACACAGTCTGCATTTTGTAATGCAATTGTAAAGTCTTCTAATGTCTCTATGTCTAACCACCAATCTTCTTGCCCTTTAAAACATTAAAGATATCTTCTAGTGACTTGTATATACACCGAAGGAATTCTTCACCATTCCTAGTTGGGTAAGAGGAAACATTACAACCTATCCAGTCGTCATGTACCTGATATCCTAATCCAAAGCCATCGGACACCACGGGGCCAAACCCTCCCAGCTGCACAGCTGGGCTGACCAAGGTGCTCGTGGAGATGATGTTGTGATTGAGCCGAGCATAGGCCGGGTCTTGATAGAAATCAGGCAGAGCCAGCCCTTTGGATAAGGCCAAGTAGCGCAGCCCAAAGAGATGGCGGTCAAATCCCTGCCCTGTCAAAATCAAAGAACATGTATTAGAGGGAGGGGTCACTTTTGTGGGGAGTAAACTCATTTATCCTGACATCACATTGTTTTCAGCCCCAAAAGAGGTCCACAGAAGCGAGGTTTATTTTTGTATTAGCAGGAATTATTTTTCAGAACCCAGGCATTTTGCCGTTCTCATGTACACATCCCAGGGGAAGAGGGGCTGTTTTACTACAAGAATCAACCAGGATCATCAGAGTACACAAAAGTGCAATGCTAAGAGACAATTTTAATAATACATCACATTCTTTGATTAACTATTTATCTGAGCATATCCAAGTTGTTTAAAGCAGAAGAAAAGCCTTCCTAAAACCTATTAAAGAGGATCTTGCATCAACAGAAGGAGGCCAATTTTAGACTCTATGGGGTAACGTTGAACAGTCTGTTTTACTACAATAGTAAACCAAGTTATGCTTCTGGGAAGGAGAGTTCAAAAAAAAAGCACTTCGAAAAATGCCAGGAAATGCCCAGCCAAAAAATCAGTTTGATTTAAAAGCTGTTAAAGCTTTTATGCTCTGCAGGGATACAATGGTAACTCCTCAGACTTAAAGCCAAGGTTCTGGTTGCCTTGGGGAGTACAACATGCACTAAGTATTTATCAAATCTTCCAATACCCCAGCTGCTCTAAGGACAAAAAAAAAAAAGTATAAAAATTCTCAATACATTAACAGTGACCACAGAGGCTTTCCTCTCCATCGAGAAAAGGAGTGTTACAGAAGGCACTTTAACCTGCAGCCTTTGGCTACTGTTTTTGTCAAGTTTACATTAGCATCAGACTGCCATCAAAATTAAATTATTTGGTTGTAAATTAAATATTTACAGACATTTTAGTGCAAAAGCAGAAGCGTATGATCTGTTCCTACTCACCCATAGCAGCTTCTTTTGTCAAGCGGCCGTGGTACTTGGAGCACTCCACTATCAACTTGTGCAGCTCTTCTGTGCTGTGTTTGGACAGTTCCTTGACAAAAGCTTCCGAGCATTTCTTGGTATGGACAGAGGCAGGCCGGATGGTCTCTGTGCGGCCGTGTTTGAACGCTGCAGTGCTGCACGACTCGTACGTAGCCACAGTCTGATTGTACTGGCGAAGGAAAGCCATCTGGAAGGCCAGCTGAGCCACAGCATCTGGGCTCACCTTCTTCTGCTTTAGAAGCTCCTTGCCCCCTTCCTGGAACTGAATCATGTTAACAGACAGCGATTCCACAGTGGTATCGAATTTCTGTTTGGCTTTGGTAATCCCAGCTTTTAAGGCATCGTTCAGCTTAAAGTCAAGTTTCTGCACTGCTTTAGAGGAGTCTACTGAGGCAGGCTGGGACTGGGGGCTGATAGCTGGTGACTTGGTGCTGTCTTTAAAAACCTCATTCTGGAACCTGAGCACAGCCACACCATCTCCCCAGGAATGTTCAAAATTGATTCCTGCGGTGCCATCCTTGGTTATGATGAGATTAAAGGACTTATCATACCAGCGGTTAGCCCCATCCCCGTGCAACATAGTGTGGGACAAGTGCACAAAGTCTTTAATGGGAAAATCATCTAAACTTAAACAAAACAAAGCAGAGTCTACTTTTTGAAGAGCTTCTTCATTCCCATTATCCAGTAGGTTCTTTCTCAGCGATGCCCACGTGTCTCTGTTTTCACTGGAGAGGTAGCCAAGAGGGAAGGCTGGGGCCGGACTGGTGTCACTAAGGATGTATTTCAAGTGTGCTTGTATTTCTGAGGGTTTCAGCATGTTTCCATCTCTATCAAGAACGTCAAACACATAAAAACTTCCATTTCTCAGTACTAGTAAATGCTTCGCCTTTTCGTCTGTATAAAGCTCATCTTTCTCGAGCTTAGGCACCCGTGTGGAATTGAAAAGCCTGAAGTACTGAGACATATCCAGGGGGTAAGCATTGACCATGTAGGCACCAAACCAAGACACTGATGAAGGCACAAATCGGATAATTTTTTTAAAGAGCTCAGTGTCGCTTTTTTCTGGATTGAGGTGAAAAACCTCTGGTTCCAGATAACCAGCCCTGAAGGTCTTCATAAAGCGTATGGCAGAAACAGTCATGTTCGTAGCTCGTGTGAGCTGATCGTTGTATTCCGGTTTGGGATCGGGATTAAAAGACATAAATGCATTAAAATTCAAAACAACAGGCTCACGTGCTTTTAGGTACATGTCAAACCAGGGACCTGAAAAGTAAGAGTTGAGAGTGAGTTCAGAACATAAAAACAGCTCACTGAGTCAGACCAGAGGTTTGTGTAGTCCAACAGTGATCATGAATAAACACACACCAAAGTGCCTACAAACACAACAAACATGCAGTAATTCACCCGACACCTCCCATTTGGAGTGGTACGTCCCTTTACCTACTCTTAAACTATTAATTTCTGCAACTCTCTGTCACTGAGGTTGAACCTTCTAGCTGGGCTGGAAGAAGGGCAACAGGTAGCTCAAGGACCTAAGTTACAAATTTAATTATAGTTTCTCACAGGTGAGTAACTAGAATTCATTTACAGTTTGAAAACCACATCTGTCATCATCACGTAGCCTTTTAACCCTGGCTTTGAAAGTCTAAGGCAGAGGCAATTATACATACTTTCAGAAACCAATTTGAAGTAGAACAGGTCTTTGCTGAGGCCTAAAGAAGAATAATAACTAAACAAAAAGTAATACAGACACTCCACTGCTCATGGACACAAAGCACTGATGAACAACATAAAGCCACCAGTTAAACCCCTAGATGCTGTTCAGAGTGAATGGAAAGTTAAATACAACAAACCAAACAGCAGTTTTTGTGAAATAATCTGGTATTCTGTACAGAATTTGTGGTAGCTAATACCCTTAGGGGCAGCCTCAACAGAGAGCGAGGACAGAGGTGCATTCACTGGGCAACATGGCAATTTCTACTTCCATAGGTATTTGAATATTTCCACCTCTGCTGCTATCTATCCAATACTTACAATACTAAGCAGACACTTCTATGTGGAAGTCAGTGGAAGCAGTATAATCAAAAATCTATACACATGCTCTCCCTCTCCCAATGTGTTTTTCTTTATTCTCATTTTCCTCTTTCTGTTGCTCCTATTCTTAGGTTCTTTAAGAGAATATGGTTTTGTAGTTTTAGGGGCTTTTAAGTGTAGAGCACTGACCACTTCTGCCTCCCAAACTTAGTTATATTCTCTGACCCCTCCCCTCCCTTAGAGTTTAGTTTCGTTACTAAATAATGTGGAATTATTTGGAAATGATTGGTTTCCTTAAGGAGTTACTAGATAAGCTGCTCTTTAACCTAAACAGGCAACCACAGTGTTCACAGCAAGTTCATAGATTACTTAAACTTCAGCCCATTATATTTGTAGCATAATGAGATGTTACCAAGCATGATGACCCACAGACTCCTCCAACACCCAGCAGGCCAACGTACCTGTGATGTAACTAGTATGCTTGTTCTGATTGTCCTGAGCAACCAGTTGCTCATGTAGCTCTCTTCCAATTCCCTTTTCAAAGGCACGAGCGAGTTCTTCAGTTTTCCTACAGCAATCAAGAAAATAGTCAAAATGCTGTCACAGTTCCATTTTTTATCTGTATCACTTGGCTCTGAAGCACCACATGACACTGCAGTATATGTGTGTCCATACCTGAATTGGTCATCATTTAAAAGCGGTTTCTGGGCATTCAGGTATCTCATAATTGTATCTTCCAGTTTGGGAACAGGCAGTCTGAAGGAAGCGGAACACAGACACATGCACTTAATGAGTAAGGGTACAAATGCAGCCCGAGTTTCTTACACAGTAGTCTGTCTTTGCCTCCCTTCTTCCCTATCCTTCCTAATACTATTATATATACTATACTATATATATATATTTGGACAATATAAATACATCTCCTCCAAGTGCCTCATAAGTTTCTTGTGGAATAAGAGAAGTAGGGGAAGAGATGGACACGGGTCAGCATAGCCTAAGATTCTTGGGAAACAAGGCAGAGAAGCAACTTGACCGGCGTGTTACAAAGGTACTGCGGGGATGAGTGTTAACCACTTACAGGGAAGGGAACACAGCGACGGGAACCACTGCCAGGAGAAGCAGTTCTGCAGAAGGTTGCTAGCCCTGCTTCAGGCCTTCCCCTCATTGCTGGGTGCTGGACATCTACTTTCTTACAAATTTCCTACCGAGTATCTTTGCCAACTTCCTCTCAGAACAAGGAAACATTTTCCTTACTATAAAACAATCCCCATACACTCCCGGGGTTCCTTCGCGAGCCAAAGGAACTGAAGTTCCTTCAGTAGCAGGCTTACAACATATTTAAAAACCCAAGCCATGCCTCGGCCGGGAGAGCGAGCAGCGCACAGCTCGGAGCCGGGGACGGACATTCTCTCAGCCCCCCCTCAGCGCGGACACCACGCACGGCCCCCGCCCCGCGCCCCCGCCGCACAGCCCGGGGCGCTCCCCGCGGCTGTCCCGGGACCCGCCGTACCTGGGCAGGCTCTTCTGGTAGTGCATGGTGGGCACGATGCTGCGGTGCAGGAACTCGGCAGCGCCCGCGCTGCCGTAGCCGCGCCGCCCGCGGCCCGGGGCCGCCCTCAACAGCTGCCGCGCCGCCATGACAGCAGCGCCTCAGCGCCGCCAGCACCGCCCCCGGCCCCGGCCCCGCCCGCCATGTCCCCGGCCCCGCCCGCCATGTCCCCGGCCCCGCCCGCCATGGCCCGGCCCCGCCCGCCATGAGCCCGGCCCCGCCCGCCATGAGCCCGGCCCCGCCCGCCATGCTCCCGGCCCCGCCCGCCATGGCCCGGCCCCGCCCGCCATGGCCCGGCCCCGCCCGCCATGCGCCCGGCCCCGCCCACCACTACCCCGGAAAGGAGGGAGGAAAACGAAACCTTGCCCATGTTATTATTCCATTCAGAAAGTCGATTCGATGCGCGCCGTCAAGGCAGCAAGGTTATCAGGGTACTGGAGTGGCGCGGTTCGCCATCAGTCGTCTTTTACCTAGCCGTTAATAAAGTCTGCATTAATTACATTTGCATTGATTAAATTTGCATTAATTAAATTTGCATCCATAAGTTAAATCATAAACACAAATAATAAAATTATTAATGCATTAATAAAATTTCCTGCTATCCTCTTGTTTTCACAGCACTCTTGTTCAACATACAGATTCCACTTATTTTTCCTCTTTTTTTTTTTTTTCCGCATATCCATATGTCCTGCTCTTTATACAGGATTCAGATCCTGCCTCCAAGAGAGCAGTTTAATCCCTCTTGAGCTTTTTTACTCATATGTGAGCGTGTAACAGCAATTCCGTATCACAGTATAAAATGTAAAATTGTAAACACACGTATTTTTGTTGTATTGCATCCAATATTTTCTGTAAAAACACTGAATAATATTAGAATATCCCAGAAGCTCCAGAGATGCTCTCATAAGAAAGCGTGGCACAGCAAATGGTGATGGGGGTGTATTTTTATCAGATACTCACCAGCATAAAAATCAGCGTTGGGATTGAATGCGGACACAGCAAAGGAAAGGAAAGCAATCCCTGTGGCTTAGTCTCATAATCCTCTGAAAGTAAATTGGCCCTACCCTAATCAACATAGTGGTTGGAAGAAAAGTGAAATCATTTCACTTCCAAGATAATAAAAGCCAAACGCCAGAAGGTGTCCTTGCATGCTTCAGTCTGTGGCTGTTTCCTGTTCAATGAGTGTCTCTTAAGCTGCTCATTCAGCCTTTTTTTGGCCATGGTAATGAAAAACCCCAGCCTGCTTTAATTAATGAAGTCCAGTTTCACCTAGCTTGCCCTGTTGTGATAGTGCTGTTCAGAATGTTACCTGCCCTGCCCTTTAGGAGAACTGCAGTAATGCTCCTGTTCCCTGTGCGAGTGCTGGCTCGTAGAGTTCCCTTTCCAAGTTTGGGTGTCCAGACCCCAAATTCAGAGACTGAGGAATGCACTGTCTTTCTCCCGGGAGAGTCACTTTGTTTTGAACTAGTCTTGTTTTAGAAATACTACTGCATTCTGTTCTAATTTTCCAGAGCCCCCTAATCTTCTTCCAGGCTCTTAATGATGTAGTTGATAATAGGATTGTTGGTATTAATTTGGAACAATAACGCCAGCTGCTTGCTTGGTGGCTATTGGCAGAGGGGTGACCTTGCAGGTCAGCTAAGCAGAACTGGAAGTGCTTTGATCTGATCTATACAGAGCCAGATCTGCCCACCCGAACAAGAGGAGTGAGGGAATTCTCTCCCCATGGGATGCTGATTCTTCCCCGCAGAGCACGGAGCACAGCATGGCGGTGGCTTTGGATGCAATCCTCGCTCGGATCAAGGATGTTTGTAAAAGGAACGGTTTGCTCATCCTCTCCGTGTTGTCCGTCACCATCGGCTGTCTCCTTGGATTCTTCCTGAGGACGAGACGACTCTCCCAGCAGGTAAGAGTGGGCACGGCAGCAACACCGTGGAGAAAATACCACACTTACGTAACAAAAGACGTATGGAACTTGTGCAACTTCAGCACGGGCTCTGGAACATAAAAACTGTGTATCTATATTCGTTAAATTTGTTTAATTTCATGTGTTTGTTGATCTGTGCTGCTCTTTGGGTCCTTTCACATGTTCTCAAACAATACATCAGCAAAGGTTCTGGTCTCTAAGACACCTGGTAAGTGTAGCATAAACACAACAGAATGTTGCAAGAATGGATAGTAACAGCGGACATTTAAGCTAGACGAGAGGTAGCATCTAATACAGATCTGGAAAAAACGATAGTGCAATATACAGGATTTTATATTATTTTGGAATATGTACGTCTAAAGAAAACACCGGGAATATTTTTCAGCACCCGATGCACAGAGGTGCAGATGTTTATATCACATCAATGGCGTTTCATGGTAATAAATTTAAGACTTCCCATCATTAGCAGACCATGTTACTGAAGTCCCCTGGGGCTTTTTCCCCCAGCACATTTCAGCCAAGCCATTGGGGGTGCTCATTTCTGCTGCATTAGCCGGACAGACCAGACAACAACATGCACTGCTGAATGTGCTGCTTGAGCACAAAACACAAGTCTCAGTTTAAAAATATGGCTTTTAGTAAATGCAACTAAACTAAACCAATTCTGTTTTCTGCTATGGCAAACCACTGTTTGAGCATTGTTTGTGACCAAGCAGTAGCTTCATACACATCGAGGAAAACACACCAAATACAGAACAAAGAGATTATTCAGAGCAACCCAGTAACAGCAGTCCCCAAGAGATGGCATATTTTATTTCTGTCTTCCTTTGTAAAGGAACGAACCATGTAGGGTGTTTATTGAACAGCAACACATTATGTAATCTAATTAATTTTAAAATGAACTTTTGAAGCCTGCTATCTTTGCCACCTTACGTGCCAAAGCTGCAGATTTTACCCATGTTATCTGATCCCCAACTCTGGCAGCACTTGTGAAGGCAGACAGTCTTTAGCTCAAAACAATAAGCACCTCTCTATGTATTTTCTAGGAAATTAGTTACTTCCAATTTCCTGGTGAGTTACTGATGAGGATGCTGAAAATGCTGATTCTCCCACTGGTTGTCTCAAGGTAAGTGAGGACAACAATAGTTCCAATAACTTTTTCAAGTTTCCTAAATGAGACTTGTCATTGCCACAGTTTTACTTGTGACTGAATTAAGTGACAGTGCCGAGGCATCACTGACTGCTGTGCATTTGTATTTATAGTGGAGCCACAAACATGTTTTTTAATCAACGGGATCATTTCTGCAATATCTCATATAGCTATTATTGGCTTTAAAATTAATGTGTTTTTTTAAAACTGTTTTCTTTTTCCTTTATAATGGGAGGACTTTTTCCTTCAAGCTAGCTAGAAGGAAATATAGCTAGAAGAAATATATGGAATAAATAACCCACCTTATCAAAAAACCCACCTTAAGTCTAAATTATTGAAACAATACACTGTTCAAATAAGATGAAAAAGCACAGTTATTTATAGTGTCGTACAGTATCCTGTGTTTCCAGTGAACTAATAATATATGCCTGGCTTCAGCTGCAAGTGAAAGTGATTTCTCAGTACATTAAAGGCAGAACCTTTAGTGGTGCCACTTTATTGGTAGCAGAATTAATGATCTTGATCCCGTTCTGAGGGATGGTGCATGGGAGCTGCCTTTGCAGTGGGAGGCCATGACTTAGGAGAGGTTGTTCTCTCCTCTGAGCTTGACTGTCTTCCAACTGACTACAGTCCCAGCCCCACACCAGTTGGATGGCCAGTGCTTATTTGTGTGCCCAGTGCTTAGGGAAGATAGAAGAAGAGTAACAAAGCTAACTTTAGCAGACCTGAGAAAAAATTATTGCAATATTTGGTGCCTTTCCTTGAAGGCTCAGTTTCTGAAACCTAATGCATACCCCAAGACCTCATCTTCCACTTTAAGAAAAAAATAAGTTTGTAGTCTTCAGACTGAAGAGAGTTGCTGAAAATTAACACAACTGAGCACTAATTTTACTTTTAAGTTATCTGCCTTTAGATGTGCCTTCTCATGGCCTTTCACAGAACAAAGCTGAGTCACGGTGCTCTGTGCATGAAACTGTTCACGTGGCCACAGACTCACACCTGGTTCTGTCCCATGCAGCGAGAGAACATCAAAACAAAACATCTCAAGAGATTTTTTTTTGAGAGGTGGAAGGAAAGTTTTCCAAAGAAAACAAGAGTCTCACAGGAGGAAGTGGTGCAGTAAGGAGGACAGAAAAGGGTTGAATCAGATTCACATGCCCTTCCCTAAAATGTGTAGTTCTTTAGATCCTCTTGTATTTTTTAGAGATGTTAGGAAGTGCAACAGCACAGAAGGGAAGAGCTGCTCTGACAGAGCCTGTACTGGCTCAAGTTACCTACAGATGTGTCAGGAGTGAACCTCTGAGCCTGAGGAGAACTTCACAGACCCTCAAATGGATTAACTCCTTGCACGACAGTATCAGTCCATCTCCGTGTGTAACAAACCATCACTTGCTACTGCAAACTGAAAAGTCAGGGGTTTGCAAGCAAAAGCTACTCCAGATGTAATTACGTTTTCCACACATCCATTTCATAAAATCAGTAAAGCCATGCTCTGTAGTTTTACCAATCTGTATGCACATTTAAATTACATTTCTTTGTGGATCTGGAATATTCTCAGCCTGTCCTGCCAGAGCAAAGGCATTTAAATTATCTTTTAAATTACTCTCTATTATTGTTTACAAAAGCCAGAGGTACAGCACCATGAAAAGAGCTCTAAATATTGCTCTCCTAGTTGAAATCAATGCAAGTTTTTCCTTGAATACATAATCCAAAAAATTACTTGTAAAGAAACATAAAGGCAAGAAAGGAAGATTAAAAGGACTGAGCGCAAAACACCCCATCTCCAAGTCCAGAGTTTATTTTGGAGGGTTGTAGCAGAAGTAAAATGTGGTAACTGTGTGGGTCAGAAGACTGACAATAGACTAGAAAATCTTGCACTTACAGGCCACTAGCACAGATCCAGCCTTATACAGAAATGCCTGAAGATTTGTACTTTCCTTCTTGATCTGATAGAGAGTAAAACAGGACCTTTGCAGATTGTATCCATTAGGAATGAGGAAATTATGATATAGTTATCTATCTAT